GCCCTGCCATTTCCTTAGAGGACCCTGTCACTCCCCTGCTGTCTCCAAACAGGTCCTCTCTGTGTCTATAAAAATCCATGCCCCCTGCCCGGGGGTGCGACTTCTCTAGCCCTGCTGTTAGGGCAGGAGAACCTCACCCGGAAGCGCCAATAAACTGCTGCTCTGAAACAACTCCGTGTCCTGGTGTCTTGGTAAATCAGCTTTACACTTTCATAGAAGTGAAAGGGCATAAATCAAACATTAAAAAGTGTGGGATACCTGTAAGTGTATGTATGTGTCTGTGAATACTCCAAAAAAAACCCAAACTCACAGCAATTGAGTCAGATCCCACTCATAGCGACCCCTCCTTGGGTTTCCAAGGCAGTATCACTACAGAAGTAGATGGCCCAATCTTCCTTCTGAGAAGTGGCTGGTGGGTTTAAACCGCGAGGCTTCTGGTTAGCAGTCAAGTGTCCTAGGTACTACACCACCAGAGCTCTCGTATATATATGTACACACACACACACAAATGTATGTATATACACACATCCATCCAGAAAAGAGCTTTGGGGGGGGTGGGCAGTGGTTAACTGCTTGAAGGCTAACCAAAAGGTCAGCAGTTTGAACCCACCAGAGGCTCAGCCCAGTTTGAACACACAAGAGGCTCAGCTGCGGAAAGATGTGGCAGCTTGCATCCCTAAAGATTACAGCCTTTGACACCCTAACAGGGCAGTTTTAGTCTGTCTCGTAGCGTCAGTATGAGTCAGAAATGACTCAAAGGCAATGGTTTTACACACATATTTGTGTGTGTATCCATATTAAGATGTAGCTGTAAGAACTAACGTGCGCTGACTCAAGCTATAGCATTTTCAATCATGTCACATGCATGAAAACCTGGGAAAGGAACAAGGAAGAACAAAGGAAAACTGATGCCTTTGAATTATTATGTCGGCAAAGAATACGGCTATACCATGGATTGCCAGAAGGAACAACTCTGTCCCGCAAGAAGTATACCCAGAAGGCTCTTCAGAAGTGCGGACAGCAAGAGTTCGTTGTACACTTTGGACATGTTATCAAGAGGGACCACTCAACATTATGCTGAGTGAAATATGTCAATCACAAAAGGACAAATAGTGTATTAGTCCATTAATGTAAAAGTCAATGAAAGGTTTATCTATGGAAGGAAATTTTCTTTGTTGGTTACCAGGGGTGGGAGGGAGGGGAGGGAACATTGTTAGACAAATAGAGATAAGTATTGATTTGGGTGAAGAGAAGGTCAATGTACCAAATGTGAGTGATCAATATGGTAGCATTGAGGAAGACAAAGACATAGAGAGGTACATGGGAGGTACAGATAAAAAAGATGAACCCTTTTGCACATACAGTACTTCACTGTCAGTGAAGGCAAACATGGGTATATGGGTGGATAGATGGGTGGACAGGCTGAACTAGTAGGTATGTCTATGAAGCGGAGAGTGTACCCAAGAACATGTATAGGGTTGGCAGACAATGGTCCTATAAATTTATCTGTATGATCAGAATTCTCAGGTGTATAGCAGAGCTGACAAGGGGCAAGGTTGTGGTCACGTCTTCGTCACAGCCAGCTACCCAGAGGGACCGAGTAGTTGAACCTGTGGGCTTGGGAGCACAGTCACAGGGGACATCAAGCTCAATTGGCATAACATACTACACAAAGCATTGTTCCACCTCCTACTTTGGCGAGTAGCGACTGGGATCTTAAAAGCTTGCAAGCTGCCATCTAGATGCAACGATGGGTCTCTCCTCCTCCAGAGCAAAGAAGAATGAAGAAAACCAAAAATTCATGGAAACAATCAGTCCTAGCGACTGGTACACCATTCGATCTGCAGCCTATATGACTAGAAGACCAGAAGAACTAGATGGTACCCGGCTACCAGTGTCAACCACTTTGAAGGGGATCTATGTAGGAGATCCTGGATAGAGAGGGAGAAAAATGTGGAACAAAACTCAAAATCATTTGGAGAAAAAAAGAGGGGGGGACCAGGTTTGCTGGTCTGATGGAACCTGGTGAAACCATTGAGACTATGGCCCCTAGCTGCCCTTCAGGTCTGGAACTGAAACCACACCTGTGGCTTCCAGCCAAACAAAAGATAGGCATATGAGTTGAACATTTCCCTGAGGTAGATACACTCCTTGGAGAGAACAATCGTGGGAGAAAGAAGGGTTGCTTATGCACAGGGAGATAGCTCAGGGGGCAGGAGGGCATGGAGGAATGGACACAGGGAAGAGGTCACTATCGGGAGGAAGTGGGAGGGGAGCTGTTGCATTGTGGTGAATTGTGGTCAATGTCATGAGACAAAGTGTATGTGAACCGCTGTATGGAAAGTGAATTTGTTCTGTAAATTTTCACCCAGAACCCAATTTAAAAAAAAAAAAAAGAGGGCCCACTCAGTCCCTGAGAAGGAGTTTGGTCCTTTTTGGTAAAGCAAAGGGTGACAGAAAAATAGGAAGGCGCTCAATGACACGGACTGACACTTTGGCTGCAACCGCGGGCTGAAAAACCGCAACGACTGGGAGGGTGGCGCAGGACCGGGCAGGACGCGTTCCGCCGCCGTACATGAGGTTGCCAGGAGTCACAGCTCACTTCCCAGCACTGTATGTTGCTCCATGCTGTCACCCCAATTACAGCCAACCGTGACCCCATGTGACAGCAGAACTGCCTCACAGGGTCCTCTTGGCTGTAATTGCTATGTAATTATTACGGAAGCAGTTTGCAGGTGTTTCTCCGGCAGAGCCACTGGGTTGCCAGTTTTCTGGTCAGCGGTCAGGTGTTTAACTGTTTGTACTCACGGACTCCTTAATATAAGTGTTTCAATGCCAGATATCGCTAAAGACCCCCTCCTGGAGCACGGCTGTCTCTGGAGCGAGTGACACTCACCTCCTACGTGTGCTCTGGTTATCCCCGTGGTCTTCAGGGCCGTGTGACTTGCAGATCTCGCCAACCATGGAGGACCAGGTGTCATTTCTCATGAGTCCCGCTGCTGTATTGTCAGTGGATGGCTTTCCTCCATCATTAACGTCTTGAGAAACTGATCGAATGATTTAAGTTGACGTTCACAGTATGAAAGAGAAGGAAAGAAGTTACTCAGAAGGACAGGCAGCTGTGAGAAAACAAAGACTGCCACATTCTGCTGCTTCAGTACTGTGGCAACGGTCAGAAAGCAACTCAGGAAGACCGAGCATGACAGTGACATCCACGGGGTGTACGAACAGCAGAGTCGAAGGGGACTGAACCCAACCACATGGCCGTTAAACGAGGAGAAGGGGCCGGTCTCTCCCCACGCACACCGCAACCCCAAAGAGGCTTTTTCTCACTGATTATTCAAACACCATCTCCACGCAAGCCTGATCCTTCGAAGGCTTCTTGCCTCCCGGTGCCCCCCCGGACCCCCGGACACAGTGGTCTTCATGCAGGGTGCTGTCTCCACAAGCCTCCTTCTTGCTACTCTGGGGAAACACGTAAGAGTCGCTGATATGGTTCATGTGCAAAGGCCTAAGATGAGGGAAGCAGGAAGGAGCAGTAAACACGTCCCTGACACTGAGCCAATGGGTCTTCAAGGTCTCTGGAGATCGGCAGGTGTGAGTTTGTAGCCAAACAATCAAAACACAGTAAGATCCTTTACAAGGTCCCAGACCACAAATATTCTCTCTGGGCAGCAAAGAAACCCCTAAGTCAAAGCTCACACTGACAGCATTTGACAAGCCTTGAGGCTTTTCACCACAAATGAAATGCCGCTCAGGGAGCTTTGTGTCCATGGGGAGGCCAGGATGTGCACGCCCCAGAGAGCAAATAGCAGACTGGTTTCATTTAACAATGTGAGCCCATTCCACAGCCCACGTGCTGGTGTAACATCCATGAGTGTGATGCATTTGGTCACTAATCACACATCAAAGAAAACGGAAGCCATCCGTACCTACTGAGGCCAGGTTTCTGAAGGTTTCCAGCATCACATCTCTGTAGAGTTTCCTCTGAGACAGATCCAGCAGCGCCCACTCTTCCTGGGTGAAGTCCACAGCCACATCCTCAGCAGCCACTGAGCCCTGAAACATCCCACACTCTGGTCAGCAGGGTCCCACGTACGCCCGTGTGCATGCAAGGAAGAGTGAGGCTGACAGCGCTGGGAACTGAGATTTCAGGGGATGTGACTCCAGGGTTGAGTCATCAGCCTCATGCCTTCTCTGTCTACATTCACGTCCTCACTGAATGCACCCTGTCTCACAGACAATGATACTTCCAACACAATGTACCTGTCACTCCACAGTGTGACTGTGGCCAATTCCAGTCTCATTTCCACCTTTATGGTCTGGAACCGTCAGAACACAGCCTCAGCTGGAGAAATGAGATGCAATGAAAGCCTTCTGTCCACAGTCAGATCATGTCTTCACTGTGAACCAGAGGGAAGTTCACCTGCCTGCACAGGCCCCACCAGAACAACAACAACAAAAAGCACAGGACGGGACATTCAATAACTGGGCCCCTGCAGGTGGCAGTTTTTCCTTTTGCCCCTCACAGCCATGGGAGGTCCAGTGGCCTGTACAAGCACCCTGGCAACCCAAGGCCCTGAGCTCACTGTAGTTTCTTGAAGAAGTCCAGGTGCCCAGGAGCTGACAGGACCACTGCTGGAAAGAGAGTGTGATTTGGGGGATCAGGAATTTTTACATGGCTGCCACCTGCTTTCAATTACCCCACAGCTGTGCTGCTGTGCACTCTGTCCCTTCATGGAGACAGGCACGGGTACTGACAAGGTGAGCACAGTCCAGGGGAAGAAAGGAAATGAGAATCCAGACGCCATCACAACCGTCAAACTGGGAGACACAAAGCTACTGTGCAGTAGTTATTAGTGACTGCTCCCCGACAGACACCCGGACACCCACAAACTCCAGGAGCCCAACCTGTGAAGACGCAGAACAGCGTGTCCTTTGTTTGCTGACCGTGAACATGCGGTTAGATTCCCATTTGCTAGTGAGTTCACTGAAGTGCAGAGGATGTAGCTGTTAAACTGCTCGTGCATCCCCGCAAACAGAGACTCACACGCCGGCCCTCTAGATGCTCTGCTCCACAACATTCTCACACCTGCAGCCCCCGGACGGCACACAAGCCTGACTACCTGAACCCTGACCACTGGCACCCCCTGGGCTGTAGGACTGGCCTCTGTGAAACAGCGTCAATCCACTGGCTGCCACGAGTAGGGAGGTGACAACAGGCTGCTGCACCGTGCTTCTGACGCTAAATCTCTGCTCAACAGCCGAGCACCTGGAGGACAGAGAGGCCACGGGGTGAAGCGAGCTACTGAGGGTGTCCCTCATCAATCCCGGTATGATGGTGCACAGCAAACTATGACCCAGGGCCGCATTCAAGTCTCCTCCACTGCAGTGGAGCTGGTGACGTATTTTAATTGGTCACCCAAAACGCTAACTTCCCTTCCTGTAATATATTCATAAAATGCTGCATCTACTGAATATTTGATGGGAAACGCAAACAGCTCTCAGCACCTAAGCTCGTGTACTACTCACGCTGCTCTCAAGCGAGACTGTAGCCGACTGACAGCAGGTACAGCCGCAGAAGGCTGCAGTGAACGCATCACCTGCTCAGTCGGGCCCACAGCGGGTGTCGCTGAGCCGGGCTGAACACAGGCGCACGGGCCTACACCGGATCCTGACTCCTGCAGCGTGTTTGCCACGCTGGCTGCTCGTCAGTCAGGTGACCCAGAGCCCTGCTGGGCAGCAGGGAGGAAACAGAGATACCCACGCAGTCATGGGACCTAGAGCTCTCTCTCCTGGCAAAGCCCAGTGTCACAGGCAACACTGCCCCCTCCCGGCCCTCACGTCTGCCTCTTTCATTCATTCAAATCGATCAAGGTGGCGCTGACACAGAGCCTCCCTCACGTGGGCAAAGCACGCAGCACTGAACAAAACAGCACATGGACTGTAACTTCCTCCCTCGTGTGAAATATAACGACAAGTCCCCTCGATGGGGCCAGGACCCAAGTGCCTGCCTGCTAGCCAAAAGGCTGGCAGTTCAAACCACCCAGAGGTTCCTTGGGAGACAGGCCCAGCAACCTGCTCTGAGAAATTACAACCCTGACAAGGTTACGCAACGGTTCTCCTCCACCGTGTGGGTCATCAGGAGCCAGAACTGCCTCTACCACAACCGACAGCAGCGTCAGGGCCTGCGGGGTCAGACCTACAAGAAATGAGGCACTGATGAGAGGAGTGACAGGCTACTTGTCCTCAGCATGTGAGCGCAGGGAAAAGCAAAGTCAGCATTTATGAAACACTAGGTGGTGACACGGAAGGAAGGGTGGGTGGGCAATCTACTTCCGTAGTGATACCGCCTTGGAAACCCAAGGAGGGGTTGCTATGAGTCAGGTCCCACTCCACGGCACATAACAGCAGCAAGCGGGTGACAAACGTCTCAGTGAGGAAACAGATCGGACTGTCCGCTCTGAACACTTGGCAGTGCTCTGTTAACGACCCCGCAAACACTGAGTTTCCGGCACAGTCACTGACCTCACCCACTCCCACTGCAGGGGCACAGGGGTCAGACAGCGCCACTGAGCTCCGTGGTCGGGAAAGGGAGGGCTCACTGGGTTCCGAGACGGAGAGGTCATCAGCCAAAGGTAAGTCTGGAAGTTGGGGTACGGAAAGTAAGGAGCACAGAAATACATCCTACCCAGGAAAGGAAAGGAAAGAGACCACGGTGAAGAAGCCGCACCACCAATAGCGCCTTCGGGTCGGGTATGACGTGCAGAGACGAGAAGTCATCCCTGCTGTGTCCAAACAAGGAGGGCTGGACGCACCGAACCACCAATGGCGCCTTCGGGTCGGGTATGACGTGCAGAGACGAGAAATCATCCCTGCTGTGTCAGGACAAGGAGGGCTGGACGCACCGAACCAGCAATGGCGCCTTCAGGTCGGGTATATGTACAGAGATGAGAAGTCATCCCTGCTGTGTCAGGACAAGGAGGGCTGGACACGCTGAACTCAGAGAACTGCGGTCACTGTGCAACCGCTGCCCTGTAACCGGGACCACAGGTGACACAGAGTCACTGCAGAGCTCAGATGGCAGTGCCGCGGTCAGGACCGGAGAGGGAGGACCTCAGGTGTGGCTGAGGGACTGCTGGAGGCTCGGTGGGCACCAGCTTCAGGGTGAAATACGCCGGGGCCCCCCATAGGGGACACACCCAGTTTGTTAGTTTAACCTCCAGGAACCCAACCAGGGGCTCGGTGTGAGATCAGACAAAAGTTCCGTTGTGCTGCCACAGGGGCCGGGCTGGTAGAAACGCAACCATTCTGAATCTCACCCAGAGCATTCCCTTTCTGAACAAGGGCTGCTCTCAAGGGAAACTACTAAACTGAGTCTGACAGACCTGGGGACACCGGCAACCGCAGCGCCGCCCCCTGGCTTCCTGGCTCACCGCAGGGGGGAGGGAAGAAGCAGGGACGCACTGGTGAGGTCACTGCTCGGGGCACAGGCGCTCACAGACTGACCCGGGCCGCCACACGCAGGGTGCTGACAGCGCCAACAGACAGCTGCGCCAGTTAGGCTTCAGAGGCATGGGGCATTCTGCTCCGTTAGCCCAGCAGTTAGTTAGACTGGCCCCAAACTGAAGGGTGCACAGGCAGATACAGACACTCATTGTAGAGCAGAAGCCCAAAGCAGAAGCCTGGGTGCCGTAAACGGTGACGTGCTCGCGCACCAAGCACAGGGCCGGAGGCTGCAGGGAAGATACGGGAGCACTGGGAGCACAGTCTAGCAACGTACTCCTCAAGTGTCAGCCGTTGAAAACGTCGACCACAGTTCTACTCTGAAGCCCACGGGATCACCTTCAGCACTGATCACAGAGCAAAACTGCTTCATTAGATAAACACGACAAAGAAGTAAACTACGTGCATATTTTAAGGAAGGGAACTATACGAAATGCACCGGCTCTTGGAGTAAACTT